TTATCATGCCATTGGCTGATTGAGTTTTAACTCGAGCTCATTGAGTTTTAATTCGAGCTTATTACGTTTATAGTCATAAAAAACCATGATCATTAGCATCTGCACGAGATAATTCTTTGTTATCCGAATTATCCAAATATCTGTCGGGTTAGGTAAGAACGGATGGACAGATACAGATAAACTCCGTTTTATCTGAACGGATATGCGGATCCATCTCTACTACGGTAAATCATGAGAATTCGAATACTACAAATTATCCAAATCACATACCGATACTGTGTGTGACACGTAAGTTCTGTAACAGATATTTTTTATATACAGTAAATCACGAGTACAAATTAACCCTACAAATTATCTAAACATATACTATGTGGACCACAACAGTCGGTAAGTTTTGTAACAGAATTTTTTACATACAATTAATCATGGTAGAAATCACGGGAATTAGAATACCAACTAACCTCGCAGTAGAAATTACGAGAATTTGAATACAAACTAACCTACGAATTATCTAAACGTACTGCGTGCCACCACAATAGTAGATAAGTTTTGTAACCTGCTGTCAATAGAAATAAGGCAGATTTGCATTTTAAAAAATTAAAGCCTTAATTTTCACAGCTTATATATTGATGAATTTTGAAACTATCTTGATGATTTAATAATCAAAAGAAAGCTTAAGATCCTTTCTTTTGAATTCTATATTGTCAAGATAACTTCAAAATTCATCGAGATATAAGCTGTGAAAATTAAGGTATCAATTTTCAAATTTTTTTTTTAAATGCAAATCTGCCTTATTTCTATTGACGGCAGCCCAAATAATTTGCCTCTAATTAATTATATGCTAACATATGATAGGCGGTATATATCAGTTATTTTTAGATTTTTTAGACTGTAACTCTTGATATATATATAATTTTATTGATTATATTTATCATTTATCAATATTTAAGATTTTAAAGAATTTAATAATTGGACAAGTGGCAATAATGACATTGATAAATATATTCAACAAACATGAAGATATCATTGAATGGATACCTTTCGACAAATTCATTAATATAAAGTATCTAGCTAGAGGAGTGTTTTTAAGGCAGTATGGGCTGATGGATAAATTGAGGAATCTGACTATAACATTGCTTTTGAGTATTATTTTTTCATACTTATTAACTCTTTTGAACTTATTTTAGTAAGCCTGTTAAACGTCCAAATTTTGACTAATATCTTTTAAAATGAATATTTGTTAGCATTTTTGAATTGAAAGAATTGATTATTGTTTTTTTTTTTTTTTTTTTAATTTGCAATTGTTTTTTAAATAAAATAAATTCTTAGATCGAGACATGTTATCAGCTATCTATTGCTATAACATTTACATAAACATACACGTTTTACTAGTTAACTACTTCAATTACTTAATAAATGACGTCATAAAAGATCCAGGTCTCTTACATTCCATCAATATTTAAAATATTTAATAGATCCTGGGTATAGTGCATGGCTAGGTTTATATACTAAAAGGAAACTTTTAAAAAGCAAGCATATTTTTCATTTCCAACAGGCTGTCTAGATATTGGGGGGGAAGCCGCATTTGTTTATTGTAGATTCCTCAATTCGCACCCTGGTATAGTACACAGAGGGTCTACTATAAAGGACACAGCGAGGTATCTTTCGAAAATAACTTGCTTCTTTTTAATTTATAAATTTTGGTGAAATGCATCGAGAGTTTTGATATTTTCTAGGTTGAAGTCTTTAGTGTTAATATTCACATATAAATTCACGTTTGTTTCACAATTATTGGTCTAAGTTCGATATGATTATTTATTTGTTTGTGAAAGAAGATTTAGTATTAGCGCAAACTAAAGGACAAAATAAACCGCGAAATTTGACTTTATAGTTGAATCATTATGTAATTTTCAGGACTATCGCATGACATTCCAAAGCTCGTACGTACGATGTTCAGTTAACTGTTATCTTTGAGCTGACATTATGCAATATTGCAGATTTTTTTTGTTATAAAAAATAGAAACCCCAAATTTTTTATTACAGAAATTATGATATATGACCATGCAGTGATAAGGCGCATGATGTCCATCTTTATTTAGAACAATATTTAGTAAACTATATTCGAAGCGAGACCGCAAACGCATTCTAAAAGATTTAAATTGTTATTCAGCCTTAATCGCGCAATGAATTGACATCAAACTTGGTAAAAAGAAGTCTTACATTTCTTATTCAAAGTTATGTTAAATTATTTGTACTTTATATATAGTTTTACCAATTTGTATAATATAAGTTTTAAAAAATTTATATTAGATTTTATATATACCAATTAGAATATATTTTTTAATTGAAAATTTTACTATGGTATGTAAAATCGAAAAAATAACTTTGCTAAGAATACAGCATTTATTATTGAGCGTTAAGCATCCAAAAGTATTTTACTAATATTTTAATATAAAGACCGCGGTATAATGAGACTAGGAATATGTTTGATTCTATTAGATGACCGACCACCCCGGTGTCAAACGTATGCGCTAAATTTTGTTAGGACCAAAAAAAAAGCTGATTCAAACATCCCAATTTAGTTAACAGTATCTGCACAAATACAGAAATAGCGTTGAGCATACATGATGTCCAGGTTGTACAAATTCATGACAATTAAAAACGGATTCGTGAAGGAAATACACTCCGTCTTAGTCCGGACAAAAAACTTATAAAAACTCGTATATATAGTCAAAGACAAAATATTGAAGATAAAATATTGAAGATAAAACAATGTCTCAAGAAGATAAAGGAGAATGTACAATGAAACCTGATGAAAACAATAAAAAAAGAAAGAAAGACGATAATAATGTAAATATATGTGGCGAATATGAAATAAGCAATAGCATAATTGCTGATGGTTTTCAAGTAGTTGGAGAGGCAGCTCAACCATTTCTTCAATTTTTTCAATCTGTTACGCCTATTGTAGACTCAATAATGAAAGCTTATAAAAATGGAAAATGTAATCAAAAAATTTGTTTAGCTTTAATTGATCGTGTTGAAATCGCTCAGCAAGCAGTTAAATCTTTAGAAAGACAACAAATGGAAAATGAAGAACTTTTTCAAAGACAAGACTACTATAATGCATGGGTTAGATTTATAGTCGTTTTAGAGAATATAAATAAATTTGTGAAAGAAGTCACTCAATTATCAAACCTGCAAAAGTTTTTGACTGCAAACGCCGTTAAAGAAGCATTTGATAAAAATATTAAAGAATTTGAAGAAGTATGCAATGATTTAAATTTCACTTTGGCTATTTATGATATAAATAAAAAGGAGTTAGAAAATAAAAGAATTATGGAGGATATTAATGCCTTAACTAAGGTAATAATCATGATCTATCACTATTTTGCACATTGCATATTTAATTAATCTTTAAAACATTTGAACTTGTGAGATTAGAATATGAATGATGCTTTTAGTGAACAGAATAAAGAATTAGCTCAATTATTCGAAAAATTTGATCAACTTATGAGACGAACCGCCTTTGTTGATCCCACATTAATAGAAGCCTATAGAGAGCCCGAAATAAATCCACGGGAACTGGCTCCAATTCCATCCGAAAATGATTCCGGAAAAGCTATCCTCCAAAGAAATTATCGGGGAGTTAAAGTCGCTTGTAAAAAGATTCTTGTTGAGAAAAATGATATAAAATCTTGTGCTGAGTTTGCTATCTTACGTAGATTGGGGATTTGTCCATATATTATTGGCTTTCATGGTCATTCAAAAATAGATAATAGCCCTGTTATGGTTTTTGATTGGGCACTAAATGGTAATTTGAAAAAGTTGTATACAGCGAATTCAATTGATTGGTGCACTAAACTTAAAATTGCTCGTGATATATGCAATGGTCTTCTATTTATGCATAAATGCAATATTTTACATCATGATATTCGCTGTGAAAATATATTAGTATGTAAAAACTCATTTTTAATTTAAATTGCAACCATCAATAGAAATCAGAGGCTTTAAGAAATTAAAGCATCGGATTTTTATTGGCTACTGCAAGAATATTTTTTTTACTAAAATAGCGATCTTTATTTTAAAAAGATTACCGAAAGTTATGAGCCAAAAATTTCGAATTTTTGGCTTAGTAGAGACGAGAAAGAGATATCTGTGAAAATAGAGAATATATTAAACATTATTCGATGGCTGGCTCCTGAAAAAATAAGTGATTCGAAATATAACTCTGTCGTTGCATATGATCATCAGTGTGAAATGTACAGGTATGCATTTTAAATATTTAAAAAACGACTGTGTATTTCAAAATGATCTCATTGTTTCTGTGATTAAGTTTTGGGATGCTTCTATGGGAACTCTGTCACCAACGAATTCCATATGAAAGTATTAATTCCGTGCCCGAAATTGAACAACTTGTCAGAAACAAAAAGCGAGAAAAAATGTTGCTTGATCCAAGTCCAATTGCCCAAGAACTTTTTAAAATTATTAAGCAGGGTAATTTTTGTGAATCTATTTTTTGTATTAAAATCAATCATTTGCATTTCATCTAATCACTGGATTTTATTATTTAAGCTTGGCATCATACTCCTTCTGAGCGTCCAAAAGTCATGAATGTGCTAACAACTCTTAAAGAAGCTTATGAAAAATACGTTCCTAAAGGAGCTTCTCCCTTGATACTTCCTAAAAATACTAGCGACAACAATATCCCAATCTATAATCTAGAAGGAGATAAAAATAAATGCGATACTAGAAAATTTCCAGAGGATTGTAAGAGGTTATCCTTGGACAATATTTCTGTGATTAAAACTTTAATTCCTTTTGAAATGGGATATAAAGCTCATCGAGAAAAGAACTATGAAGTTGCTTGGGAATGTTTTTCTGGTCTTGCTAATTGTGGAAATAATCTTGCAAAGTATTGGAAAGGATATTACTTGTTAAGTGGATATTACGTTAATAAAGATACGAATGCTGCCCTTAAACTTTTCAAAGAAGCTGCTGATAATTGTGTTCCTGAAGCTCAACTTCGATATGCGTTTACCTTGATAGAAAATGGCTCGCAGGAATATTCTGAAATAATTAAATATATTAAAATGTCTGCTGATAATGGAAATGAAATTGCCCTTTATAATTTGGGAATGATTTATATGGAGGGATTATACAGTGAACCAATTGATAGGGAAAAGGCTAATCATTATGCCAGATTAGCTGCTTTGAAAAATTATTCTAAAGCAATTGAACTTTTAAAAAAATTAAACGCTGAAAATCCAGTTCCGGATACAGATATGCCTGATGCTTGATTAATGTAACAATAAGTATAGACATTTTTTTATTTAGAATTTATTTATTGTATTACCAAATTATAAATCAATAAATGTTGCTATTTATAGACTTCTTAATTATTGATAGTTAAAAAAAAACTTTTAGAATTTGTAGATTTATACCAGGTGTTTCAAAAGTCCCACTACTGGTCCCTATTTTTTCAGTATCTAAACTTTTTTCCTTACTAAGTAAATTGCCGTTGGGGCTTTAAGTAAAGTTGTAGAGCTCATCAAGACACAACTAATGGTGACCTTATATATAGAGATTACGATAATTATTTATACAAATATGTATATAAGATCACTGAAAAAATAGGGACCAAGAGTGAGACTTTTGAAACACCCGGTATAATAAAATTTAAAGAAAAAAATAGTTTATGCTAAAATTATTATTTGTAGCTAATCATAATCGTAATTTTCTTATGCTTATAGTGATTGGTAAAATAAAAATAGAATTTTGGGGGAATTTACAGATAAGGGCCCAAAAAATTACAAATAAGGATCCAAAATTGAAAATAATTACAGATAAAGGCCTGATATTTGAAAATAAGGGTCCAAATGCTAGCTGATTAATTGCCTCATTTCGTGATTAAATAGGTGTTTGAGTTATCGTTCATTATTCAGAATTAAAAAAAAATCCAACCTACCGACCGGATTTTTGAAAACCATATAATACAAAACGAAAAATTAACTTTTTGTGGCCTAATACTTCACTTCTTCAAGCTACCAGGTATGATGTCTTGACCCCCCACTTCAGAAAGAACACGGTTCATAATATCACGAGGTCGAAGTATTGCTATACTGTTCTTTAAATAATGGCGCAATAAACTTTACATCTTTGCGCTTGTTAACTGAAATAGTAAAAGGACATGAACTGGTTTCATTTGTAAAATAAATGGTCAACAGCTTATTTGGTTTGTTCATTCTGCATTTATAAGAAGAGGATTCGACAGAATAACTGTTCAAGGGCTAATGAACAATTTCCATATTAGTAAAAGTCATACTGATCTGAATTTTGTATCTGACTTGGAGATTTGAAGAAATATACAGTATCAAGGGTTGACGAATCGAATGTATATTTTTTATTGTGCGTTAACAATTAATGACTATATTATAATCATATTCAAATCATCGAAACGGGGCTTAAATCATAGGTTTTTAAGCGCATAATTATTTTGGGCCCATATTTGTAATTATTTTAAATATCGGGCCTCTATCTGTAATTATTTTTCATTTTGGACCTTTATTTGTAATTATTTTCGTTTTTGGGCCCTTATCTGTAAACTCCCCATTTTTTAATTTTACAATAGTAAGATACGACACTATTTTATATTTATGATTGGATCTTAATAACAGTTCAAAATACAATTATATTTAATCAAACAAGGTGTGCAATAACTCTCAATCTAACGTACATAATCATCCAACTTCCATCTTTCTCATTATAAACTTCAGGTTTACACATCTCTATTACTTCATTTATAACATCTTCCTTCTCATTATCATCTAAATTCTGTGTAAATGGATGTCCAAAAGTATCAATCCATCCACGAAGATTAGTAGGTAAATAAGTTGGACGAGGAAATATATTGATTGACGAAATTTGAAACGAGGCCTTTGTGAGAAGTGCCGAGTAGGTTTCTTGGGACGGAAAGAACCTTTATTGAGTTTCAAAAAAAGGAAAATTAATATGTTCGATATTATATAACTTTTTATTTAATTTTAAAGAACTCTTACCAAGGTGAAAGAGACGCACCATCATATCCACGTTTGTCGAGAGCTGCTATCATTGACTTTTCAATAACTTACACGTGTGCGTACATTCAAGTAAATATTGATGTAAGTCTGCTAGTTCACTTAACCGTAAATTTATTGCAAATTTACCTTGTACGTTTCCTTTACCACCCATCTCTATTACAAGACGTCCACCGGGTTTAAGACATGTACGAATGCCTTCCACCACAGATTCTTGATTTTTGATCCAATGAAGCGCTTTAATTTTACCAAACAAAATCAATTTAGAAAACTTTTGAAAATATTCCGTTTGTGTGATATATCAACAATTACCAGCATTAGAGAACACGGCATCAAAAGTTCCTTCAAATCCTTCGGAAATTACCCATTCTTTCAATTTTTCACCATCAACAACTCTAACATCTTTACATCCTAACAAAGAATCGAATATATAAATATATTGTGTATATTCAATAAATGCATAATATTTTCTCTTAAATATACCTATAGCTTGTGCAGCCTCAACCATTCGAGGGCTTTTGTCAATGCCAATACATTCCTTACACATTTGCTGAATCTGAAAGGTGAGCACACCATCACCACATCCAATATCTAAGATCCGCTCATGTGGTTTAGGAGATAGTAAAAATATCAGGTCTTGTGGAATAGCTGACACGAATCGAGCATGATGAGAATAGTTAAATGGAGACCATAAATCGGTTTGTATCGATGAAGATGTAGATTCCATGTATGCTGATAGCAAGGAAAGATTTGATAATATTGATGATATTTATATTATAAGCTGTTCAAAATTATTTGCACAAGAATTTGGTGAGTCATATTAAATCATTTATCATCATCAAGATAAACATCGGATAAATGTTAATCCTATGCCTAAAACGAAGACATTCATATTTGCAATGCAATATATACGTCATATTGTACAATATAAACTTTAATTTGCATAACGATAGAGAACCCATTTTTAAAATTAACTTTTAAGATAGCGTAATATGTGTTGTAACTTGAAGTGCTTGGCATTATATTATCATATTGAAATATTAAAAAGCAAATTATCTTGTCGGCATCAGTTAAGGGTCAAGGAAAAGTTGTTACTCTTGTGAAGGTTAAATTTTCGACCTAATTTGTCGAATTAGTCAATTGGCACATTTTTGACAATTAAATCAAGAATCAGAACTTATCGTTCTTAAAAAAATCCAATCTATGATTTAATTTAATTTAAATGGTATCAATTCATTGATGATTATACATATTTTGATTGAGATCCACTCCTAAAATAATCAAGATTTTAATAAAATCATTAAACGTTTTGCGAAATGATGAAAAAAGATGAGCGGTGTGAATGAAGGACATTATTTAAAGGAAGTAAAGTAGACCTCAAAGATTATCTTAATTATTTTAATTATCTCTAGTCCTTTCAATAAGCGACAAGTTTGAAAATTATATGTTTATCTTGAACCAAAAAAAATACCTTTAAATTATAAAACATTTCACGATGCTGAAATTTAAGCGCACAACCTATTTAATATTCATTGATATTCTTTTTGTCGAATCCTCTTTGGCAAATTTTTATTATCCATATCAAGGCATATTTCCAAGCCCAAATTTTTATATGAATCCGTATTCATATCCTCCAGAATATTTCTTGAATCCAAACTTTTATCCTTCTTCATATTACGAT